CCCCCCCCCCAGTGTAACAGTGTTGTTTCCCTTAATAAGCTTAATAAGGGATTTCTCTATTGGGTTAAGTTAGCTGGTAAGTTCATGTCTTCCTAAAAGGTAGGTGTCCTTGGTGGACACAGGCTACCTCAGTAGTAGGCTTACAGGCTTTGTCTTGGCTGGCCTGTTCTGAAACCCTGTTCTCACAGTAGAGTTCTGCAACATGGGCCCTGCTGCACTAACCGGAGCAGTCCCAGATGTGTGTTGGGTAATGCACAGAAACAAAACCCTCATCTGAAGTACTTGGAGGTGGTACAGAGCACCTGGAGCCACTGTGACATGCCTCACCATTGACAGGTTGGCAGCCAAGGTTCCCTCTAAGCTGCGCACGTGCGTGGCTGCGCACAAGTAAAAATCTTGCTGCACACCAACTTTTTAAGGCTGCGCACCTGGCCAGAGAGGAGCTGGGCGTGGAGTGCAGTGGAGGCACCAGGGCTAGCATGGGACACTTATCGAAGGGCACTCCTCGTGCAGGGCTGGCATGGGTTCCATGGGCTCCAGGGAACTGCTCTGCACCCCTGCATTGCCTCGGGGAGCGAGGAGGCACATGGCACCAGGGCTGGAGAGTGGAGTAGTTCCCCAGAGCTGGCGGAGCCTTCACCAGCCCCAGCCCCCATCTGTGCCTTGCCTCACCTCAGGGAGGAGCTGCTGCCTGCCCCGTGTGAGGAGTGAGCTTATTTTCGGTAGGTGTCCCACGCTGGCCCCCGTGCCGCCCTTTTGGTTCTGTCAGTTGACTGTGTCTGGCCCGTGGCTGGGCCACAGCATCAATTTTACCTTACTGCGCTGAAAGGGGAGGCGGGACCGAAGCAGCACACTCTCAGGCTGAAGCGGCCCGCTCAGATCGCTACTCCGTAGAAGGAATATTGCTGGCAGCCCCTCAAGAGCTGAAGTTCGATATGACAAAAGAGCAGTGGGCAAAAGGAGGTGATTGGAGGACAGGGAGGCAGCAGAAAGAAAGGTGAAGTTAAAGTTACAAAAATAGGCCGGCAGTTGTTTAGTTGTTCAACCCTAGTTGCTGCCAGGGAAGTAACCCACCTGTCCGGCTCTTGCACCTTGTTTAGGAACTGGTTTCAAATCTGAGGCCCCCTGTTACGTCCTAGTGGCTTCACTGATTCTCGCTAGTGCCAGGCTGTCCTGACCTCCCAGTACCAAGGCTGATGATGGGTTACAGCACATTGAGGGCATGCCTGCAAAGGGACTTGAAAGGATGTTAGCAGGGAAGTAAGAACCACTTTACTGGACATCTGGTCTATTGCTGCTGATACGTTACATTTAAAACCTGTGCAAGGCCCTAGAGCATAAACATTTGCCCCAAACCATGTTCTTTGTAATGGTGCCAGGATTTTGATGTGCAAGTGTGCCTCGGATTTGGCCACAGACCAGGCTCTAAAGCAAATATCATATATCACACAGTTCACAGGGAAAAAGTGCTCCCTCTTCATTGTAGGAGAAATGCGGGACCAGAAACCTGCCAGTGTGGTGGCCATGATCCAAATGCAGTTGTTGAACTAGCCATATTGTAATTAATGCCTAGTAGTGGCCTGTTTGAGTAGACTCATCATCTGGCTGGTGACATGGTCCTTGTGAAGATTTCATGGTTGAGGGGCTTTGCCATGGGGTGGAGTGTTCCTGTTCCCTTACTCACAGGTTGGTTCTTCCCTTTTCAGATCTACCAGAAAATCCCAAGCACAGACCCTTCTTCTAACAAGACCCAGCAGATCATTGCCACTGTCCGGACAATGAGTTTGCCCAGCAGCACCATTGTGTCCCGTAACCATTTTTCCCCCATCTACCTATCCTGCGCCATGCTTTTGGCAGCGCTGAGCTGGCAGTACCTTAGTGCGATGTCAAAGGCGTCAGAGGAGTACATTCAGGCCGGCGAGAACTGAGGGCTGGGGGAGATTGCTGGTCGGCAATTGGGCAGTGTTGGGGACTGTGTCCTGTGTGTCTCTCCTGGTGGGCTGTTATGCTGCAGGCTTTCCAGTTAGCATGTGCCCTTGGAGACTGATGCCAGGAATGAATCAGGATGTCTGGAGGTGCCATTCAGCCCCAAAATATTGTGAAGTAAGCTGGCTTGCTAGACCGTGGTTACCCTTCCCATGCCAGCAACCTGGTGTCATTGAAGTGAACAAGTTAGAAGTTTTGTGTTTGACCTTTTCTTCATTGGAGACCTGTTTTTCCCTGCCTTCTGGCTGGGATATTTTTTTACATAAAGTTGCTGCTTGGAATTTGGACTCACCGTTCCTGTAAAAACTGAGACATGGGACTTGTTCTACCAACTCTTCTTTTGCCCTGCGTGCATGTGTGTGTTCTTATCTCCTGTTGCACAGCAGTTTCAGAATGTTAATGTTGCCATCCAGCAACAGAAACCTAGCACGTCCTATGACAGATGAAATCTTAAGGACACAAAGAAACTCTGGCTGACTTCTGACTGTTGGCCTAAGAGTGGTGATAGTTTTAAAACACTGAGATGCCTGGGGAAGATCTGTACAACCCACCCTTGTACTAGAAGACTAGGCAGAGGTGTTGGCCTTGTAACTTGTCAGGAATAGCTTGGGCTCAGTTTTTATGGTGTGATAATTTTTAAAATGCTCCTACATGCTTGCTTGCTTGCTTCTTTTACAGGCCCAGCATACCTGTAAATGGCAGAAGCTTTATAATGACAACACATGCAAAGCTGCCCTTCTTTTTTTTAGCTATTCAGGGAGTGCAAAGGGAACTTGATTAGTTTAGTAGTGATTTCTTTCCCCTCCCACCTGCCCAGACAAAAAAGAAGTCTGATTTAAATATTGTCATATTGGAACAAAGCCATCACCTATTGTATAGTGTAGCTCAAGAGATGCCTCTGCCCAAAGTGTTCTGACTAGTGTCCTGGCCTGGAATCTCAGTAGATGCCTGTTCAAACTGGGCCTTTTGAGGTGTCATCCTACAGTTCAAAGCAGACTCTTATGGCAACCAGCTTACTTTAGTGTCCTTTACTTCACCATCTGGTTGTCACACTGGTGGCTCATCTTCCCCAGCTGCATCTGAATGCACACCAACCATGGGCCCCCATTACTACCACCTGCTGTTAGGGGCTAGACTGAGCTATATTGTGCTTTCCATTAAAGGCTGTTGGAAAAAGGTCCTGCTGCTCCATGCAGCATGTCTTCTCTCTCTATGCCTGGTCTGCTCTGTTCAAGTGACTGGTGCTTTGAGCCAGCAAAAGTGTCTGCTGTAGGTGCAAGAGCAAGGGCACTGAAGCCTGGCTTTCATAGGCCATGACAAAACTGTTGTGTTCAAGATTACTTGTCAGTGAACAGTTAAGGCCTGTTGGCTTTGTAAAACCCACTTACAGCACAGAGACATACCATGAACTTGCAAAGAGGTCAAGGAGTGTATGTACTTGAACTGGGCTATGGTTAAAGCAAGCATTCTCTAACTGTACAGTCTCCTGTCTTGTTGAGAATAAACTGATTCATTTGCAGAGATGTTGTTTTATTCAGTTGGGTGAGGTAATTACCCATGTGAGTCTGAAGTCGGAAAGTAGGGCAGGGAGATACCTATGGATGCTTATGCCTCTCTGAAGTGCTGCTACTCCTTGGAAGTGGTCTGAGGTGGAACAGAGCTGAAAGCTTGTCCTACAATTCCTACCTGTTCAGCTGGTTTAAAAAAAAAAAAAAAGGTCTTCCCTGGTGAGTATTTGCATTGTGAGGGGGCAGGCAGGGACTTTTCCCCTGCACTACCACCATTTGAAGCTGCCTTCTGTTTGCTGCAGTCTCCCACCACTGAAGAGGCTGGTGAAGAACATGGTCTGGGCAGAGAGACATCTTCTTTCCTCACCCCTGACCCAGTCTGCTCCCTAGTGCCAACCAGCATGTCCACTTCACCTTGCAGAAGGCTACTCCCCATTGCCAGCTGTTGGGGTGTGAGCTTCTGCTCCACACAGCTGCAGTGGGAAGGATGAGCACTGGCTACTGTCAAAGGCATTTGCTACCCCAGCCCTGAAGTAGCCTGAGATTTAATGGACTCAGCTGACTGCATTCCTGGGCTGCACTAGCAGCCCCAGGAGCAAACTGAGCAGAAAGTCATTTCAAATAGCCAGGCTTGATATACAGTGAAAGGAGGCTGCATCCATCTGTGTTCAGCCAGGAGGGCTTCTCCATGCTAAGTGAGGCACTGAAGCCTGGTTTATCATCATCCCTAAGACTAGTAGTGAGCTGTTCAGTAGCCTGGAGGAGCCAAGTTGTTAAAGCTGGTCCCTGAGGTGAGGAATCACCCCTGATCCAGGGCAGAGATCTGAACCTAAGATTCCCCTCAAGAAAATGCTTTGATCAGAACACATTAGCTGTACCTGTCTTGTCCCCAAGTTACCTTTTTTGAGCATCTCAGCCCAAGACATCCAGGCATTCAGACCTCTTGCAGGTTGTGGGATTCAGTAGCAGTTGGGCAATTTTGCATATACCCCCTGCAGAAGCTTTGAGGTTACAGGGACCCACAGCAATGGTCCTTTACCTCTTGGCCCTGCACTTCAGCTGGACAGCAGAGTTAGGTCAGAGGCTGGAATGAGTCCTGGGGCCTACAGCCTAAAGTCAGGCACCTGATAGTGCCATGTCAACTAACCTGGGCACTGGATACCAGGGATCACATACCTGTTTTAAAACACAGGGCAGCAGCTGTTAAGCAATTACAAGTTAACAGCGCTTGGTCTAAGGTGGGATTTGATTGCTGCTGTTTGTAGCACTTGCTACTACTATACTAGATTTGGGCACTGCATCCCACCTGTATTTGTCAAATGCTACCTACAAAAAGGAGCTATGGAGCCAGAGATGCCCATCTCTTGGGAGACCTGGGCTTTTAGAGATAGACAGAAGCACTCCCTTCCTGGAAGGGCATTGAGATAGCAACTCCAGAACAGGCCCCATGAATATGGATCTAGGTAGAGTGTACAGATGCTACTGCAGCCCATGCACATACGGCTCCCTCCCTTCCAGAAGCCATCATTCACAAAACAGAGAAGCAAGCCTAAGAACTGCAGAAGTCCCAGAGAGAGTTGCCTCCCCCTTCCACCATATAGGAGCCCAAGAGACAGGAGAAAACTTTATTGGCACTGAAGTCACCTCACTAGTGGTTAAAGCAATTACAAAAAAAAAAACACCAAATAAACAAACAAACAAACAAACAAAAAAAGGCATTAAAGGAGACTGAATTTAAAAAGCAACACCAAATACCAGAACAGTCTAAAGACAGGTGCTGGGATTGCTTGTCAAAATTTATACCAGAACTGTGGCATCTCAGTTAAGCAACATAAGCTGTTCTTTAAAAATCATCCTTGTTCTCACATAGCTCTGCCCATGCACCTACCTCAAACCCCTCCTCTGGAAAACAAGTTCCTAGGAACAAAAATGGAAGTCTTCAAGTCTCCTGCACTACAGGACAGTGGTGCAAAGCAGCTAGATGACTGCAAGCTTCTCCTGTGGCTACTGCCATGGACAATGCTAAGCCCTCTTTCCCATGGCTGTTGGGGAATCAAGTAGAAGTGTTGGGATCTTACAAGCAATATAAGGATTTCCATATTCTGCACTGGGAACTCTCGAAGGGATGGGGGTTGCTTAATAAGTATCCTGGGAGGACATCTGGGGCTGGGTGGTAGCAGCTATACTGTGCTCTTTTTGTTGAGAAGCCAGACATGCTCAGTATCTGGAGCTCACACCAACTCTCCCCCACCCCCTGCTTCCCAGAGTAGAAACCCCCAAGATGTAACAGCCAGTGTTTTGGCAGAAGCTAAAAACAGCAAGCTATTTAACTAAAGGCTTTCAGTTACTTTATAAGTAAGGACCCTTTTTCCCCTCAACTCCGCAGAGCCAGTCCACCTCAAATGGTCAGTATTGTGTCAATCACTTCTCTTCCCCCAAGAAGCAAAGTTAAGAAAACCAAGGCACAAAAGTTTTCAGAAGTTTCTGGGCACTATCCCGAGCTGTGCACTTACAGGTCATGCTTTGCACATACCTACTTGGGGAACCTAGGCTGCTGTAGAGCACTCGCAGCTTGCGGAGCATGCTCGGGACACAGGTTACCAGGCCATGCTCCATCATGGTAAGTGTCCTTACATCAGAGTTAGAAAAAACCTAGTAGGTCACCTTGTCCTGATGCCCTGCAGTTTATGGGGTCAGAAGAAAGTTAATTGCTCTCCCCTCCCCACCTTCAGGCTTGGCCAATGAGGCTCTACTGAACCAGGCCACCAAAAGCCCAAGTTTCTCAGGATACCTCACTGCTGCATGGAGATGCCAGCAGCCCCACTCCTGCAGGAGTCTTTGGGGTAGGAAAGGATGGTTTGGGAGGTGGCCGTGGCAGAGAGAGGCACGCAGTGCATCTGTGCACAGCCTGCCCCTTTCCTCCCACGGTACAATTAAAAAACAAAAAGATAAAAGGCTTTCTTAAAAAGTGGCTTTGACTATACAGTCTCTTCAGAGCATGGGCTAGCTCTGCCCCTAATCTGCTACCAGGTAAAAGCATCCAAGTCAGATTTCTTCGTGGTTTGGTGGCTTTGGCCGCAGTTGAGATGCTAAAAAAAGTCAGATCCTCTTCCAGTACTCTTCAGTCTTGGGCACGCCGGCCACGATCTCCGACTCTATTCCGCAGTGGTCCTGCCCTCTGAGGATCTTAAAGAAGCCTAGAGGGGAGAGGAATTCTTAAAATCTCACATGGGGGCAGAGAGGAGGTGGGAATGGGGACCCATCTCACTTCCCAGACAGGCAGATATGGGACGAGCCTATGTATGGACTCCAGCCAAGTTCCTCTCCTTCCCATCATGGCAACCAGCTTGCTGTGAGATGCTAGGACTCCCATTATGCCCAAGTTACAATTGTATCCACATTTCAGTCAGCTCATCCCCCCTGCAAAAAATACACCCCATAGCCCTGTTTGCCCCAAGGACTCGCCATTCTCAATGCACAACCTTCACTAGCCTGGTAGCACTAGGGCGAATACTTGTCCCCTCACTGCCCCAGGGATTAAGGAGATGCCCTGTAGGACCTAGGCCCAGCTATTCTACCCTGTTTTAGTCTCCCGGTCTGCTACAGAGCATCTGGCTGAGCCCAGATGTCTCAAGCTTTGAGCCAGTGCTGTATTCTTCCTTCTCAACCTGGACTCTGCCACCAGGTGTCCTCCCACTTTCAGCATCTCTGAACCAGGTCCAGGACGTGTGTCTTTCCTGCTGCAGCCTGTGGAGCTGGTCTGGCAGCCTGGAGCAGAGGTAAAAAAAACCAAGCCCTGGAGTACTGTTAATACAGCAGTACTTTGTGCAAGATGCTAAATCTGCCTGGGGTAGGGGAATTTCTTCCCTGCTTCAAAAAGCACCATGTACATTAAAATGACCCTTCTTTCCAGGCTGCTCCAAGCTGCTTCAGCAAAGGTCACCAGGCCAGAGATAAGTCTGAGAGTCATGAAGAAGTAGGGCTTGAAGAGACCTCCAGAGGCATCTAGTCCAAGCCTTTGCCCAAGGCAGGATCAGCCCTATTCAAACCGTCCTTGTGGCCTGTTATAAACTGGTTGGGGGGAGAAAAAAAAAAAATCAGCAGGCGCTGGGGGAGTCCCTGTTCCCCCGAGCGCCACAAGGAGTGACCAGGAACAGTGGTCACAAGCTGGCGGAGGGAAGGTTTAAGTTGGACATCAGGAGGTGCTACTTCACGGTCAGGGTGGCTAGGGTCTGGAACCAGCTTCCAAGTGAGGTGGTGCAGGCTCCCACCCTGGGGGTTTTTAAGAGGAGGTTGGATGACCACCTTACTGGGGTCATTTGACCCCAGTGCTCTTCCTGCCATGGCAGGGGGTCAGACTAGATGATCTGCTCAGGTCCCTTCCAACCCGAGAAGGTATGAAACTATCCTATAGGAAACTAGACTCTGCAGAAGACTATCCTCAACCCTGACAACACAAAACACCTTAACCTGCCACTAGTAAAAGCAGAGGAACCACAGCCACCTATGTCCCGCTTCTATAAAAAAGGGATCCAAACAGAGGGCCAGGACCCCCATTACAGAAAGAGGCAACCCTCCACCCTCAGCCAACCCATACCAATCTGACCACAGGGCAAATGCCTTCCTGATCCCCTATGTGAACATCAGTCTAACAAGTCTGTATTCCCTTAAACCCTGAAGCTGGAAAGACTTTCACACTGGCAGGACATGAAATGCCCAAGCCCGAGTCGAGCTACTGCCCACCCCCAACAGGCCCTGCTCCCAGGGGTAGTACTGAACCAACCAAGATTTAGCCTTTTCTACCCAGCTAGAAGGGGGAAGGAGAAAAGGATATTGTCTTTATAGATGCCTGCTGTTGCCATTTGCCTGCCTGCCTTAAAATCCAATTAAACAAATTTGAAAGAGCCTTTCAAAGAGGAAGCACATCCCACCCCCTGCCTGGCCGCTTACCGTTGTCACCCCAGTCCGTGTTCCAGGAGTTGGCAGCCAGCCAGTAAGGGGTGTCGTTTTCCACACCCCAGCCAAGGATCCTGATAGCATGGCCTCCAACCTGCTCCCCAGTTTCATGTTTGTACACACCTGCAGGAGAGGCAAGAAAGAGAGGTGGTGGTACATTGCGTCTGCCTGATCACAGCTCTTAGATCTTCCTAGTGTAAAGTTTGATACCATTTTGCTCTTCAGTTCCTTTGCTGGTGCTCCAATAAAGTAGATTTGTCCTAAGGCTGCATTGCATCTTTCACAGACAACATTCAAACCATCAATTAACATTACAAAACAGTTTTTGGAAAAGAATTACATGCCAACCCTAACCCCCACACACCCCTTGCAGGGGGTGAAAACTCACAGCTTGGTAATGCCAGAACAAGAGTCTTTTTATGCCCTGGCAGACAAGTTCCCATTATGCAGCAGGCACCCAGTTGAACTCATGTGCAATGGTGATGGGGAGGAGGTGCCATAGATGCAGCAATGTGAGAGTGGACTGCAAGCCAGGCATTCACATCTTGTTCCAGTTCAGACACCAACTTGCAGCATGGCCTTAGAGGCACTGGGGCCAGATTTTTTTTTTTTTTTTTTTTTTTTTTTTTACAAGCAGTTGTTACTTTAGGATGTTCAATTTGGGGGCCCTCTTCACATCCATGCCTCACACATAGCAGGCATTAGAGAGGCTGGCTTCTGTGGTTGGAAACCTCACAGCCAGGCCTGAAGTGGTCCATTGGTAGGGTGACCATATATCGCGGATTGGCTGGGACAGCCTATGAAGTCTGGGACCATCTCAGCATCCTGAGAGTTGGAGAAATTTGAAGCAAAGTCCAGGATTGGCAGGAAGCCACCTATACATGCCTGACTACTTGCTGCCACCTGGAGCCCAAGTTAGAACAGCAGTCCCTGGGGGAAGAGGTGGCTTGGTCCTGCCACATGTATGTGCATGTCCCTAAATTACAGCCACCCCTCACCGCATCTATTGGACACCAGAAAGCACAGTCTAGTTATGAATCTGACACCATTAGCTCCCCCAACATGAAACTCAGTGCAGTAGCAGGCACCCTTTGCCATCACACCACAGCTGATGGCACTCTGCCCAACCATCTGGAGCATCCAAGTTCCCCAGTCACTTTTTAGCTTGTACTCTTGGGCCAACCCAGGAACTCCCACCCATGTCTGCCCCATGCACTGAGACACATGCACTGCTCACCATTCTTGTACATCAGGAAGTCTTCATACACAATGAAGGCTCCCTCCACCGGGCCATTCTTGTAGATCTCGGCCATTATCTCCTTCTCACTGCGAGGGACGCTGTATGATGTAACGCCTACATGACAAGAGCAAAACCCCAGGCCTCAGTGCAAGCTAGGGTCTGATGCCAACCTGCCTAGAGGCCGTGCTGACTGGCAGAAGCCTACTCATCCATCTTCGCCCTGTGCCAGGGCCTGCCCCAAGGTCCCTGGAGGACTTGGGCAACTCAAGGGGAATTGAGTGGCACTTCACCATCTGCTGGTTCAGAGGACAGGAGGCCTCCACATCAGACTGAACTCTTGGCATGATTGGGGAAGGAGAAATCTCCACACAGCCTTGCTATCCTCCATGGCACTAGTTAACATGGACACTCCCAGGCAAATGTCAAGCTGAGCCTTAAAAATCTTCAAGGATGAAGGAGATTCCACCACCTCTGGGTGACCCGCTTCAGGGTTCCTCTACCCTCCTACGGATATTTGGAAAGTCTCACATCTGAACCTCCCTTGCTGCAACTTGAAACTACTGCCATCATCTGCCACTCCTGAGAACAGTCCAGCTCTATCCTCTTTCAAACCCTGCCTTGGGTCATTGAAGGCTGCTATTAAATCCCCTCTGTCTCCTCTTCTGCAGATGGGGGCCTTGCATGGCTTCCAAGTGGCTAGTAAAGTATAATCCTAGTTCCTCACCTAGAAAGGCCCCACAGTCAGGGACAGGCCCAGGCAAGCCCACAGGAGATGACGAGTCTCCAAAAAAAGAAAAACCTCAGGTCTCCAAGAGGGAAACCCCCCCCCCAAAAAAACCCCAAACCACAGAGAATAAAATCCTCAGTCCCATCTGCTTTGCCACTGGCAAGCGTGGGGAACACGCAAAGCAAAAACTTTGTGGGAAGGTTTAATTCCCCGAAGCACTTGCTAGATCTGCTTCGGGACCTTTACAGTCAAAAGGACTGCTTTTGTCCTGGGAGCATCCTCTGGTGTTAGGATTCTTGCTTGCAATGATCTCCTGCAGGGCTAACACAAGGACCCAAAGCTCACATCCCTTCACTTCAGTGCTATTCCAGAGAGGGGGCTCACCCAGCAGGACGGAGACTGAACTCGAGCATGATTTTCATCATGTTCCCCAACAGAGAAACACCCATGGGTGTAGGCTTCTGCATGGGCATGGGATGTGCAGACTTGTGGGCCATGAAGAATTGGTGGCACATGCTGTTAGCTCTACACATTTGCTACAGCAGCATCATGAGAGCTGGTGCAAGGGCAACAAGGCGCTGCATCTGATGAGATCTAGCTTCATAGCCTCAGAAGGAAAAAGTGCCCCACTGCTGCTGTGGGGAAGCCTCCCTTACCATAGTGTTTGTCCTCCTGGTATGAAGGGCTGTAGCCATCTTCACAGTGCTTGCTGCACTTGGGTGTGTCTCCAGTCTCTCCGGTGCATGGTGGCCGTGACCCATTGACATGGTGCTCACATGGAGGGATGGAGTATGGCCTGCAGCCTATTGAGCGAGACACAAGGTCAGACAGCTGGCCCCCCATCAGCCCTTGCATTTAGGGCCAGCCAGTGTAATGCAGGCATCCAAGCCACATTACAGCAAGGGACAGGACACAGCTGTGTTCAGTCTAGAAGAGGAATGACGAATAAGTCCCCTACTACAAAGGACTTGAAGATGCTCTACCATAGTGTGGAGATACTACAGCTTCCTATTACCTGACTGAGGTAAGAGTATCAATTTTAACATACCAGGTTAATTCAAAGAACTGGAGAGTTGGGCAATGCACCTAGAAAGGATCAGGAAGCAGACAGCAAACTCCTGAAGATGTAGCACAAGACAGAGCCATCTACTGTCGTGTCCCACCTCAGACACCTTGCTGAGCTAGCTCTAGGCAGCAGGTGCAAGTGCAGACTGGACTGAAGAGGCAGCAGTTGTCTGAGATGGGGAGAGGCAAGGTCAATCTGGGGGGATTAATAAGGATCAGATCTGCAGAGATGTCCAGGCAGACAAGTAGGGGTGTAGAAACAGTTGACAAACTCCTGGTGGTTAAGGAGACAATTTACATGGGTTCTTTGCTCCTTTGATTAGAGGAACAATGCTTTTAAAAGCTCCCATTTAAAAAAAAAAAAAAAAGGGTCACAGTCGTCACACCCTCCCAAGATGGACCAACCTCAGCCAGGGCTTCTGGGAAAGCAAGGTGGGTACCTCTTGCTCCCAGGCCTGCTCCGAGTGCATGGGAGAAATGCTCCTGGAGAGGCAAGAGGTAGGAAGCCTCAGTGCTATGGGAGGTGCCCTCCAAGAAGGGGTCAGGGGTGTAGTTGGGCCCATAACTGTGTCCCCACCAGCACCAACCCCCTCCAAACACCACACCACTCCAGACCCAGTGTGCACCATCCCAAGCTTACCCACATGGGAGTCGTAGAGCCCACCAGACACCAGGCCTCTCTCGGTCCAGTACTGCCACGCTCCAGTGGGGTAGCCACCATTGCACCTGCAAGAACCACCAGTAGCAGAGTCAGCCACCAATCCTAGCTCAATCGGAGGCATGGCCTTGGCTTCTACCTAGGCTTCTGGGGAGATACACTTGAAAGAGACTCTAGATCCAACACTGCAGTTCCCAGGCCTCACATACCTCTTTAGCTTCTCAGCCACATCTCTGCAGTTCCCCCACAATGCACTGCATTGCAAGAAGTACTTCCCCCAAGGCCAGGGCTGCCATACTGTGAGTTTCCCCATACATGCTGCATGTAAATTTGCTCTTGAAAAATAAGGGAGCATTTGCCACCTTGCAGCTGGAGGCCATAACCTGCTGCAGCTCTTTAGATAAGAGCCCTGAGCCAGTCCAGACTGAGCTTAGTGCTCTGGGTAGAAGATGGATAGTCTAGCAATATTTAAAGGGGCCACTATGCCATCCTGCAGCATGTGTGAATTATGACAAGACTCCTCTTCTAAAAGAAGTCAGGTGGTTGCAGGAATGGTCAAACCCAGCTGTTTATTACTACCCAGCTCTAGATTTCCAAGGATCAAGGGGATGATATTCTTCCACATAGGGAAGTTGAGGCAGAGGTCAAGAGACTTGCCCAAGGTTATTCAACATGTCAGTGGTAGAGTCAAGCATCCCAGCTCAGTGGTCTACCAATTAAGACAGCCTCTTTATCCAGTACCTCAAACTCCATTTCCAAGGGGTATGACAGCTGTTTTAATGAGAGCATATACAGAACTGGGTTTGCCCATACAGTGAGTAACAACAGTGGCAGAGGACCCAGGAGTCCCAGCTCCCAGCCTCCTGTTCAAGCAGCCAAGGATGACTCTACATTCCTCCCTGGCAGCCAGGAGGCAAACACTGAAAGGACCCAAGCACTCTACTGCAATCCTGTACATGCACCTTAAAATGCATATGCAGTCCCAGTAGAGTGAATGGGGTCATACGATTCAAATGAGCAAGAGCATTGTAGGCTGCAGTCTTGCACCACAGTCCTCTCACATGGGGTCTTCCATCAACCGATGGAAAGGTGCCCTGGACTTATGGACATGTATTTAAAATATCCCCTACAGAATGTGGCAGCACTTGAAGATTTACCCGGTTCCAAGACAAAGAGTTATTTAGTTTGTTTAGAAAGCTTGAGTTCAGGGAGGTAAGCTGAAAAGCTGCGCAGATCCGATTCCATGGAGACCTGTGCTAAAAGGAATCAGAGCTACCCCAGAATGGATTTAAATCCACCTCTGCACAAGTCAGTGCAGCACTGGGGGAAGCATAAAGGCCAAGTCCCTGTGCTAAGGCACTAGAAGGATTTAGTAGGCAAAATCTGGACTCCATTTCCCAGCAACCCCTGCCCATATTATTCTGGCCAGTTTCCATGGAGACCCCAGGAACATCAGGGCCATGGTCTCCATGGAAATGAACTAAACAGCCAGGATGCTGCGAAACTGAGTCCACCGCAGGCCAAACTTTGCCTGCCTCCAATTCAGAGCTTTCAAAAGCCAGAACCGAGGGAAGGTGGTTTCTAACCTGGTGCCCGGAGCCTGAATTACCAAGGACTCCATTGTTTCTGCCATGTGTGTCCAGCAGATGCTTAAAGATCACTATTCCTGGCAGCTCTGAGCAAAAAGAAATCACCCAGGAAAACTGGCCAAAGTGCTACGAGGTGGTAGATAGTGGACAAGTTCCCCTTCCCCTGGGAGTGGTCACAGGCAGGAAAGAGGCAAGGGAAGTGGGTCCGAGTAGCACCGTACAAGGACTGGTCCATTTGCTTTCTGGGCTGGTGACTGGGAACAGGGTCCCGTCATGCCTATTGGTAAAGCAGAGGACTTAGCTGCAAGCTCACCCCATGCCGCACTCAAAGCCGCAACAAGACAGCAAGTCTTCTGCTGAGACTTCCACGTTCACCTTGCTGTTGGTGTGGACACAGATTCTGTCCGAGATGGCTTCAACCGCTCCGAATGCCTGCAAGAGCCCAAATGAGGACTGTTACACACCCCGCAAGGGATGGAGGATTTGAGGTCTACAAAACAGACACTGGGGACTAAACAACACAGCAGCTGGCAAAAGCCATATTTCTCTTGTGCAGAGTGTGGCAATTGGAACTCAGGTCACAAAAGGCAGGCGGGAGTCTGGGGAAGGACACAGGCCTTGCTCCGCAGCAGGCCATGTCCAGAGCGAGAAGCTTAGATGTCAGCAGGACTCCTGCCTTCTCTATATACTGTTTAATGGGGTAGCTATTAGCATCCTTTAAACTTATTACTAGGTCACGGCAGCAAGAGCTCGCCCATCAGCTTAAGTCACCGACCACTGTGCAGGGCAATTCTATGATGGAACCAGGTTGAACTTCAGGGGTGCTCTGGGGACCAAGGAAGGCTCGGGGAGCCTGTCCCACCAAAGCCAAGTGCTCAAGAGCATCAGTTGAATACTGAAATACAAACAGCATATTAAAATCAGCCCTGTCACACAGCTACAAGACCCAGCACAACGCTGGGCAGGGAATGCAGGTAATGAACAAACCAAGTAACAAGATGTCAGTTGGCAGATTTTGAGATCATTTCAAATGCCAAAATCCTGTTTAGTCTGCCCATCTGAGGCTTTTAAGACTATTAGGGAAAAGGGCTCCTTCCCTACATTGAAGACTTTTTTTTTTTTTAAATGACATGCTTATCTGGCGCAGAAGGATCATCCAGCAAGCATCAGTCAAGGCTGAAAAAGTCAAGACTGAGGTATAGACTACAGCATAAAGATCCATTACCTGGCTCACCTTCAAAAGCCCATTAAATAAGGCTAGGATACACAGAAGTGCACCCAACAGGTTATTGAAAGAAAAAAGCCTGCCTGATATTGTTAAACATAACTTGTTTGTCGTCAAGCAGAAAATGCCTACTCGTAAAAAGGTCACGCAGATAAGCCATCTGCCCTAAGCCAGATCTAGCTGGTAGAAAACCACTAAACAGACTTGAAGCGACTGAGCTGACTTCCCTTAACCCGTCCTTCCCTTGCTCTCTGAATTCTTCTTGCCCGTGATATTTTTTACCTGCTTATTTCCTTGGTCTCTTCTCCTACCCAATATTCTGGGCAAGCAGCTTCAAGCAAACACTGTCAAGTCACCATTAAGCAGGTTACAGCTTACTGCAGTCTACAGCTGGTAGCAGCACACGTTTTGGTTTGAGTGGGAAGATGGGGCTGCCACAGCAGCCTGGAGATGCAGGAAGCCACCCAAATCACAGGCTACAGAGGCCAAGCACCCCAATTCCTTGCATGCAGGGTCTCACCTCAGCCATCATGCTGCATGTCAATGCAAGTCTCCTCCCTGTTGGTTAGGGACAAGCCTCAAAGCCTCTCTCTGCAAAGCTCTCATGCAGAGCCAATGGCAGCCTTACCCAGCTGCCAGCCTGTCCTAGCCAGAACAATTTCTTACCCAGCAAGAGCCACAAGAGCCCTGGTCTCTGATCTCTTTAATGGTTGGACAGTTTGGCCACTGCTCCCGGGAGTCGAAGTTGTCTGGCAAGTCCAGGTATTCTGCGAATGCAACCCTTCAAATAGAAAGAGCGCTAAGTTAAGATTGAGTATCAACATCATTTCCCACCCTGACCATCCCCAGGCCAGACCAGTAGTCACCCTCTTTAGCGGGCACACAAGGCAAGTGTCAAGCTTGGCCAGTCACAGAAATGCATAGCGAGCAAGTGGGTCCAGGAAGCCCAGGACACTTTGGTCTGAGTTCCCAGCAAGATGGATGTGTACTGCAGCAGCTCCCAGGCCAAAAGAAACCTCTGTGATCATCTAGTCCAGCTTCTTGAGGAAGACCGGACCAAAGTCTTACCCTGTCAGGCCTACACTCAACCCCAGACTCCACTGAGCTTACTGGGGTGGTGGCCCAAGATGAAGGGGGAAAAGACCTACAAAATGACCAGCAGCCAGTGGTTAAGACTCCTTCTAACACATAAGATATCCAAGTCACCGCCTGACCCAATCTGGAATAGGGACCTGAGCTTGCCCATCTCATCTTGGGGAATGAAGTCACCAGGAAGTTCTGGGGTGGGATCTATCATTTATTTAATCCCTCCCCTCAAGTTCATTTAAAGGAGGTCCCATTTTTGATGCATGCCCAAAAAGGCACAGATTTTTTGAAGCCTGGGAATCTTTTGTTTCCCCTTCAACACCACAAGGTTTTGGGTGAAGGAGCTCTGGAAATGGGGTTTGACAGCTGGTGGGAAGAGGACAAAGATGGAATAATTAGGGAGCCTTGGACCCTATGAAAGGGGCATCCAAGGGGTTCATGTATGTTGGAGTTTCACAACCACCCTCTCCCAAAACAGATGAATAAGTAAATTCAGGCATAAAGCACAGGCTCAAAGTCATGCACGGTATTAGAAGAGTTCAGGAGGAAGCTGCACTCACCAAATGCTCGGTACTACAGAACGTGTGCAAGGATGGCAAGGGGACAGAAAATGCTGCAGTCCAACGTGGCAATGCCACAGGCAGCTTGTGGCATACAGGAGAGAGGGGATCGGAGTGGCACTTGGGGACAGTGCAGGACTTATGTGGCATGCCTATCAAAAAGGTTGGCCTCTGCTGCTTTTAACCCAGGAACAACCTCAGAGTCCCCTGCAGCACCACTCACCTCTCTGGCAGCCGGGGCCCATGCAGGAAGGTACCACACAGTTTCTTTACATAACTCATGTCTGCGTGGCGAAAATTGTACCCAGCCTGGAAAAAACAAGCCATTGATCACCGAGATGCCTGAGCCGATAGTGAGCAAGTTCCTAATGTCAGTCTGAAAGTAGGAGAGAAGTAGGGCTGGAAGGCACCTTCAGGTCACCTAATCCAGCCCCCCTTCTCCAGGCAAGATCATTTTTATCCAAATCCATAATCTAAAACTGCCATCAGCCCTGACAACACCCTAAGCCACACAGGTAAAGCAGGGGGAACCACAGCAGCCAGTATCCTGCTTCTGTAAAACATTATTATATGCTCAAGAGATCCCAGGTAGAGGGCCATGGCCCCTGCTACCAAGGTAGGCAATCCCTCTGCCCCACCCCAAGTCTGTGCCAAATCTGACCATGGGGTAAAATTCCTTCCTGACCCCAAACATGACAACTGGTCTGGTCCTGAGCAGAGGGGAGAGTCCTGGGTCCAAGTCTATCATAAAAAAAGAGGTACTCAAGCCCATGCCTCCCCAACCAGTACTGTAAAGCCCTCAACAACCCTTGCCTCTTCTCAACAGCACCCCACCCCCCCACCCCAAGCCATGGCTGGTAATCCAGGCAGACAGATCTGAGACATGAGACTGAGGCAGTGCTTTCAGGTCTTGCTTTTGCATTGATCCTTCTTGAAAAAGGGGATCCCAGGAGACCAGGTTTCCCCTCTGCCAGATGCACCCAATTTTTAATCTGCGGTGACCTCACTTCAGGTCAGATCCCAACCACTCAACTGAATTTCAGTAGGGGTCTCAGCCCCCATCCAGTACCAAGAGCCCTACACAGGGTTGCGCCTCCCTTGTTTGCAAACTGCTGCCCTGGGGTCAGTCTGAAGGATCAATTAAAGCAGTAGTTTTCAACCTTTTTTTTTTTTTTAAATTAAAAAATTCTGAATAGAGATACAGACCCCTTTGAATTGTAAGTGTGGGTATTCACACACTTTTGACTGGTCAGTCATTTTCTGCAGACTCTTTAGACAGCTCGTGGACCCCCAGGAGTCCACAGGTTGGAAGCCACTGAATTAGAGCTTCCTTTGCCACAGCCTCTCCCTTGTGCGAGCCATTTATCTATCACCGTGGCCTGGCAAGATGACATTAGCGCACATTCTCTTAACAGCCTTTCCTTCGGAGTTGGTCCCTGTCACAAGCACCTGTATGACAAGACTGTAGGTGCAAGCCCCTAGTTTGGTCACTGGGGACTGTGTCCACTGCTGACAGCAAAGACAATCTTCTCTTGTTCCTCTCCTACACAATCTTCAGACACCAAGACCTCATGGAGGCCAGCAGCAGTTTAGTTTGCCATGTGCTGTTGAACAGTAGACAGGCCAGAGGAGACTGAACAGGCATCCTTGCATTGCTTATGAAATCATCTGAGACCCGAGGCAAAGAAGGGATGCTACATGGGTACTTGCAGGCTGGATCTTCTCACCTTGGAAAGCAATTTTGCCACCCCCATCCTGTGCCAGTGCACAGCTTGCCAGAGGATGCCCAAGTGGCGGCGGCAGCCCTGCCAGCTTGACACAGGGCTGAGCAGTGGGGAGAAGGGGCAGTGGCAAGAGCCCTAGAAAGGGAACTGCATCTGGGGCTGGGGGTTGTTCTCCATGAAGATCCCATGTGGCCAAGCAGGGAGCTGTATCCAGGGCCAGGTACCCATCTCCATGGAAAGCAGCCCCAGCCCTGGAAGCAGTGCCCTCACCAGGGCTCCCACCACTGCTGCTGTCCCTGTACTGCTTCACCCCACACCGAGATGAGAGGCCTGGGGGCTGCTGCCACTGCATGGGCATCCCCAGGTGAGCTGTGGGCTAGTATGGGACGGGTGTCCCAGTGCTGGCCACCTCCCTCAACCCCAGCAAGTGGTAGGGCATGGAGTCACCGCTGGCCTCCTCTGCAGGGCTTGCAGCCCACCACCTGGGGGGTGTTGCAGCCCCCAGCAGCAGCTTCCAGCTTTGCCCCGACCCCATGCTGTCATTGCCCCAAGATCCCGGCCCTGGGGCCAGATACAGCTCCAGGGAGCCATGTGGGCAACACGCATGCGTGGACAGGGAGCTGCATCCAGGGAGAAGATCGTGGGGTGGTGACAGCACGGGACCAAGGCCTGAGGCAAAGCTGCCATCTGCTCTCTGCATCTGCTCTGTGCCTGCCGCAAGGGTGTGCAGACAGCAGATTGTGGCTCTGACTTGGCCCTGCAACCCTGCCTTGTGATCCCACATCCACTTGTCCCACTCCTGGGCCCCATCCCATAGGAGGAGTTTGGTGAGCTGTTGCATGCAGAGGTGGGCGTGTTGGGGGGCAACCTCCAACAGCTCACCAGAACAGCTTGTGGCCCTAAGACTCAAATAATTGCTCATCCTTGGCCAGCTATTCAGTAGGTATGCAAATACAGAGCTCTGCTAGCCAGAGGATTGCCGTTTTCCCCACCCTCAAGCTGGCTGACCCTGCTGGCATGACAAGTCCCACTTCCATCCAGAAGCAGGACCAGAGCACAGCGCCATCATACTTCAGCCAGAAGCCCCGAAAACCCTGCTGCTACTCACCTGCCATGTAGTGTTGAGCTTGTTGATGTAGTTGACCACGTCATGTGAGAGGGGAGCGAAGTAGGGGATGCTGCGCGCACCCACCAGAGCCAGCAGGACACACAGGACAGGCACAGACTGCCACATCTTGGACACAGAGCAATTTGCTTCCCCTGGAAAGAGATTCGCACATCAGGCCACGCTGAGTCACTGCACCTGCCCGATGGCTAAAACCAAAAATTGCTGTTTAATTCAAGAGCCTGCCCACCTCCCAGCAAAAGGAACAGCTGCCTGCCAAAGATGGTTAGGAACGGGTGCCAGGCACAGAGGCAAAGCCCAGCAGGACCCCACGCCCTGCGAGTCTGCAGGGGAAGATACCGCACGGCAGGGCTCGGTGCTGCTCCAAGCCTCACGGCACCTCCCTCCTTGCTAGAGAAGCCTTGGCAGCACAGACATGCTGCCAGAGCTTAGCTCCTCCCAGTCAGCAACTTCAAATTAAAAACACTAACTATTTTCAGGACTACTTATTCTGTCCTAGACACACCAAGAAGATTTTAGCAAAGGCAATTTTCCTCTTGCTATTCTTTTAATGCATATTACGGCCCTCCCCCCCCCCCC